GGGTCTCCACCTGGCTGCTCCAGCACCCAGGGCTGCATCGGGGTAGGTCCATGTGGCTTCTCATTGGGGATGTCTTGCAGGAAGTCAGTCTTGCAAGCTGGAGCAGGGAACTGCTAAGGCAGCTGCACCCTGGTGCGACCACAAAGCAAGAGACCAGAGAACTAAAAAGGCGAGGCTCACCACCCATTTATCCCTCCGCCTTTCAATTAGCCCCACATGTGTTTATCGGCCAGGTTGGCACAATAAACTAACTCAATCCACCCATTGCCAACCTGGCACCTGTATATAATTCTTTAGCTTTACAATTGCAATTAAGTAACACCTACACCTTAACCCTATAATCCTGTGAATTTTTTCCCCCACGTATGAAAGTTTGTAAGCCAACCACTTCATGCCTTTATCTACCCCAATTTTGGGTATCCAATTTATATACTGCCCACTTAAATCAACCCAGTCCTCAGAGAAGACAATCAGATTTTTCAGCGCGAAGAGTCTTCATTCCAGTTGGAATCTTGTGAAGTCTGCATCCATAAGCAAAGTCAAATCCGACAGGCCATCCATAAAGTCAGCAACAATATGCACCAGTTCACAGGCTCAAAAATCCCCATCTGGTCAGGTTCTGGTCAACTCAATGTGGGCTGCCTCACTCAGCCCCCACAGGGTGCCCATTGGTCACCTTGCCGTTAGACCATGGGCTCTCACCGATACTCAACAAGCCTAGCCCCCTCGTGCTAGGTCATGAACCTTAGACCAGTCAACCCGCTCTCGTCTTCTCCTTTTATTCCCCCTATAAACCAAGTCCGCAGGTGTCATTGACCAAACTCAACCTGTCTCTTTATTGCTGCATTTCCCCCACTTCCACTCAACAAGTAGATCCAGGTGGTCACCTAGCAAACATTTCAGCCTGCTCACAGGCTCCCTTTAACATTCAGTCCTAGAGGGGAGTTTTCTTCATGGTTCCAAATTTTTTCCAGCTTCTGACAAAGACTACTGGTTCCTGAGTACTCCATAGCACTGGGTGGGGCATATCTTTCTTAGTTTTTTTATAGGAATGGCCTAAACCCATCTAAAGATCAAATTTTAATGGCTGAAGCAAGTGGACTTACAAACTTTCTATTTTCCTACTTCCCAGAAACAACCCAGTAAACAGTGTGGCTTTATCTGACCTCGGGCTAGACAAAAAAGAAAAAGTACCATGAGGGAGAGGTAAAACAAACATCTACTCTCCATCTAATGATTTATTTCTCCAGTACCCCACTCCCAAGGTACCATAATGTGTTAGTCTGGGTACTTTGGAGAAACAAATCCACATCAACTCGTGTATGAGAGAGTTTTATGTAAAGGTTAAGTGCGCATCAAGAAAATATCTCAACCCACAAGTCCAACATTAACCCACAAGTCCAACATTAACCCACATGTCCAACAGCAGTACACAAAGTCCTCCTCCATCTCACAAAACAGAGACAGCAATGGCGACTGCAGGAGGAAAGCCGAGTCAGTGAACGTGTAAGCATCTCAGCACTGGCAGGGGTCTCCACCTGGCTGCTCCAGCACCCAGGGCTGCATCAGGGTAGGTCCATGTGCCTTCTTCTTGGGGATGTCTTGCAGGAAGTCAGCCTTGCAAGCTGGAGCAGGGAGCTGCTAAGACAGCTGCACCCTGGTGCAACCAAAAAGCAAGAGACCCGAGAACTAGAAAGGTGAGACTCACCAAGCCATTTATCCCTCCGCCTTTCAATTAGCCCCACATGTGTTTATCGGCCAGGTTGGCACAATAAACTTACTAACTCAATAAGTATCATTTTTTTTTGTGGCTAAACATTGTCACTATTAAAGAAAATAAAATATGAAAAGAAAAACGTATGTGCATACTTGAGTTAGTTAATTGTGCCAGCCTGGCCGATAAACACATGGGGGGCTAATTGAAAGGCGGAGGGATAAATGGGTGGTGAGCCTCGCCTTTCTAGTTCTC